GGCCCCCGTACTAAATGTTTTTGTGGGCCCTGTAAAATAAGAATTCCTATCAAAATTCAAAATGTTTAAAAATTACAAATTCATTTCAATGGTCTTTAACATAGTTCAATAAAACCCCCCTTGTGGGGTCTCTGTATAGGTACATTTTATTATATATAAAAATTATTATAAAAGGTCACAATAACAACGATATAAAATAATAACATAAGATGACTAATATAATATATAACATGTACCTATAAATAACATTTTTTCTAGAAGGTGATACAGAAAAATGTTATAATGTGAAATGTATGCAGAAAAAATTCAGATATTTCTATTGGTTCCAAGTGTCTCAATTTCCCACGTCCGGATTTGAATGATGACCGGGGATGGCGGTGGCCCTCAGGGAGCTTATTGTATTTTCCGCGTTACAGTTGAATAGCCTTATGATAATAATAAAAAAAAAAAAATACTTCAGCCAGCCATATTCTTATAAATATATGGTATAAAAAAATATTTATTATGTATATAGTATTATAAAATAATAATATTTTATGAAAAAATAACACAGAGCTCGCCTTAGTGCCCTTAGTAGTTGTTTATGTTTCGTTAAAAGGATTCTTTATCAAATTGACGTATTGTTTTTGCGTAATTCCTTCCCTCTTCCTTACGGGTATCAGGATATATTTTATAAAAAGTTTAGGGTTCTTTCTGGATTTTGTATTATTTTTAATTTTCCGTCTGCTTTTTTAAACTTATGTAAAGATGAGGATACTTATTAAATCAACGAAAGTCGACACACAGATGTGCATTGTACACAATCTAAAATTCTAAACAAATGAAGGAGAGCTGCTTTATTTTTAAATATTACAACAAAGTATAAGAATATTGATAAATGTTTTATATTTTAATAGTGTGCTTGTAAGAATAAAATAATGATAATATTGCTCCTAAGGAAAAAAATATTTTCTACTACATAATACTTTTGAATTATATTAATATWATGTTGCCGATGAGCATAATATTGAATCCAGAGAAAATTATTAACTTTAATTTAGTTATAAATACCATTAAAGCAGGCCTTAAGTTTTTTTCCATTTTTATATSTCAAATAATATATCTATAGGGGCTACAACTATTAAATATGTAAACATATARCCAATAACCATAATCTATTATAGTGAATATAGTACAAAACAAACATAAAAATTAAAAAATTGTTTCCCAGAAATAAATTGTTTTAATATATTGTATTCTAAATTATTTTTTCAAAATAGATCGAAATAATTATATCTAATAAAAAGTTACATCTCGTAAATTGAAGATACTATAGTTAATGTTAAAAAAAAACACATTACAGCTTTTTAATGATGGTTAAATTAATATATTTTGATGAAAATCTACTATTCTTTTTTATGGGTTTATGAATTCTGCTGGCAAAACAGCTAATAATAATAAAAAGCTTTTGACACAATTGGAGATTTTCATTTATAAGGGTTCGAAGATCAACAAAGCACAGAGTGCCCTAAGTTGGTTAATCATCGCCGATGAAACTGTATAAAAGCCATTTCCCATTAATTCGTCTTGTAAACATGCCAATATTGTTACGGAAATAGAGAAAACGAAACCATATCATGAAATTTAATTAAAATAAATCCAGGAGGTTCATTGTTACCCTAAAGCCATTCGACCGAACCCAATCAAAACACTTCAGAACATGATTTCTCACCCCTAAAATGAGCAGCTAAAGAGAGAAAAAAAACCTCTTAACCCTGACAACTCCATTATATTCTATAGATTTTCTATCAATTACACCCCAAAAATAATAAACATGTGTGAGTTTTCACAATCGTTTATAGCAAGCTTCAGTAATAACCGCATTAGAATATGAGAGAAAAGATAATATACTACATCGATATTTACTACCCATTTATATTTATCAAATTATTAGATATATATGACATTAATTCTCGTAAATGATAAATAATTTTTCAAATGTGTTTTAGTTATAATTTTATTAGCATAGTTAAAACTCAAAACTAATTAAAAATACACCAATATCCGAATATCCAAATCTAAACATAAAAATGATTTACATTTATTATTTAAATAAATGCTATATTTTATCAATAACATATTATGTAATATAGGTACTATTATATACTAATACTAATATGGTAAATATTTATTTGTTATATTATAATTTAATCGTTTTAATATTATAATATACGCTTTGCTCATCTTGGTGCAGAATATTATAGTAAAATATAGAAACGTTTTTTAATATTGCATTTTATAATTATGATATAAATTGTTCGGTTCACATAACTGTGCTTTAAAATTATTCGACCGAATCGGCGAGTTTTTTTTACACTCAAAAAATTATTAGAAAAAAATTGCTTCTATAAACTTTAAAGTACTTATTCACTAAATTAAATATACACCGAGATTCGATTCTCAATTTTTAATTAAATATACTATATATAATAATAATACAGGTATTTTTACTCACTAATTTATTGTGTTCGAATAMAATTCGATTGTAAGCTGTCTTTGTGTCTATGTCACTTTAAGAAAAACTAAAGAAAATGTCGAAGAAATTATAAAACAATTAGCAACCACTGGTTTAACTTTTCTCGGCTCAAAACTATTTTAAAAATGCAATCAAAATTTCCAGCCATCAGATTTATAAATCAAATGTACCCTATGTTGGGGTGATTGATGTGAGGCAAGTGATAACCAGTATCCTGCACCTGGTTTTTCTGTACCTATCCTCTTTTTCTAATTACGAAATGCGTGCTTGAAAGTTATATTTAGAATTCATAAATTATACTTAATTGTACGAAGGTAAGTGCTCTCACTGCTAAATTAAATTTCACTTAGAACAAGATTAAAATTAAATTGTCAAATTATTAGGTATAGGYGACTATATTATTATATTATTATATTTTGGTATGCTTTATAAGTATATCTCTATTCTAATGTAGCATACTACATCACTGTTGACACTTTTTCACTCCAAAAAGATTTTGCTAACTATATTACATATGCTTGCAGGTATTTTAAATTACGTACAGTTATCAAAATTCCTGAGGGGGAGGGAATTTCCCTACGGGATTCTCGTGCACGTATAGCAGGTTGAATTGCCTTCAAACATATTGTWTAATAATATGCCCCAACTATTCGAATGTGAATATAGCTTGGTGACGTACACCCGTGATGTAAATAAATGCGTAACAATACCCACCCACATACAGTCTATAATTTAAAGTTTAAATAAATAGATACTAATAAATTCTAACCTCTACTCGTTCTTCTTTTAAATCCACCTTCAGCGCCAACTGCTCCCTGAGAACCACGTCTGGGTAATGAGTCTTCTCGAAAGTCGCTTCTAACTGTTCGAGCTGCTCCTCGGTGAATATGGTYCGGTGCCTTCTCTTTCTCTTGGCCGGCGGACCGGCGAACATAGACACGGGACCGTGATGATGGCCGCCAGCAGTCCCGTGGCCTCCCGTCACCGCCATGGCCATCATATAACTGGGATAGATGCTTTGGTATCCAGCCGCGGCAACTATAATGTGACCAATAATGGAAAAAAAAAAACAAACGAACAAATTAGATCACTATAATACCGTGGTTTCCTCAACTGCCGAGAAAATAAAATCGCAGACTGCATGTCTACCGCGGCCGTAGAACAACGTTAATTTTTTTCTTTTGGCTCATTTAATGCTGTGTAATATGYGCACACTACATTTTGTCATGTCGCGTAGTATTAATTAATTTTATCTGATTAGTTTAACCATGTGGCCTGCATTAAGGTATATACCTACCATATGTGGTTTAATAGATGGATTTATTAGACTTTTGGCCRTGTGGTTACAGAAACAAGATTTTTAAGGAAGAAATTGCAGTGTATCGATACGTATCGATTTAATTTTGAATGTTCAAGAAGTTAGACGTTCAATATGCAAGTGAGACGTACTGACCTGTATCGGGCTTAGACTTCGATACGAGTCGGTACGTAACTATTCTCGGTCGATACGTATAGAATTCTTCTCTTTGAAAATCTTGAAAGTTAAGTGCAGAAAAGTATAACGATTAAAAAAAATTWAAAAAATGTTATCATCGGGTACAAATGTAGGTACAGTATTCATTTCGTTGGTGTTGCATTTTTGGTATATACATTAAAAACGTATGGCACAAACGCATATACGATCATGAAAACACGACACGATGTAAATGTGCGATTAACTGCAGTACCTATATACCTATTACCTACCTACTCATAGGCTAGAAAATTACAGGTGAGGCCATGGCTAATACTGCAGACTGGATATATACATATATATATATATATATACAGTCAGTCAGTTGGCTTAATATAATTTTAAATTTGAATAAAAAAAAAAATGTTTGCTAATTAGAATTGTTTTCCTATTTATCATTTGGCACGTCATAATAAACTTGTATAGTGTCACCTATATGTATCTGCTGATACTGATCCTGCCTGCGCCCTGTAGTGTTTTGGTCCCACACAAATAATCATAATAATAATAAATAACTCTCTGGGTAATATATGGTTATTACTTATTATATAGTATAATATATACATATTATATATATATATATACATAATATTATATAGTATGTTATGCTTTTTCGGTGACCGCGCATATAATATATAGAAACTATTCGGCGGAGAAGTTTAAAGAACAAATACGCGTCTAATAAATATTATTTGGGGCAAAAAAAAAAGAAAAGCAATTCGATGAAAAATCGCGAGCAATGTGCAACATATACATAAACACGGGTGGCGGGTAGGTCGACACACACTCACACACACACACACACACACACACACACACATTCTATCATCATTTACCTATACGTGAATGTATACACATTACACACTGCACATATTATATGCATATACATAACACAATAATATAGTATTATACCACCGGGCCTGAGGCACCGTTGATCTGATTTGAACCGCAGACGGGGAACAATGCAAACACATACGGCCGTCGTTGTGCATTACTTATTCATGGTTGATTAAAGTTCGATCCGCGTGCGCGGGCATCGGCTTGGTCTCCTCGACTCGAGTAATACACGATGAATATATAGGTGCTTACGTGTGCAGTGTAGACGGGGGAGCGAAACAAAGCTCTTAGGATTTGCTAGATTTAAGCATCGCCCGTGTGTACGTAATATGTTTATATGATATGTAAAATGTTTTATTATGACGTATAGATTTGCACTGCACCACCACGATTCCGGGGAGTCGGAGCGAAACTTCGAAAGGATAGAAAAAAAA